TATTATTTATATTAATAAATATAAAACCAAAGCCAAAATAGCCAACAACAAAACCACAAATGCCAATGGGGCATGGTATTATTCCCTAATTAATTACATAAACACATGAGATTGAAGGATGGGAGACTTAGAAATTAGGAAGACATTCTTCCTTGTGGGAGTGGCACAGGTTGCCCAGAGAAGCTGTGGCTGTCCCATCCCTGGAAGAGTTCAAGGTAAGGTTGGATGTGGCTCTGAACAACCTGGTCTAGTGGAAGGTGTCCCTGCCCACGGCAGGGGGGGGGACAAGATGATCTTTAAGGTCCTTCCCAACACAAACCACTCTGTGATTCTATGATGCATGGAGAAACACAAACAATTAAGTTTATGACACGGAGAATTTTCAACTCACACATTATTTCATAAAGTCTTGGAAGCAATGGAGAACTAACACCCTCTTGCAGCAGCGCTATTAAACTGGTTTAAATCCCCAGAGCTACTCTTATCTGTGCAAAGGAACCAGCACAAGAAATACAACTAGCTGACACTTAAAATTGCTTTTCTGTGACCACAGTCTTACACAGCTAACATTCCTTCATGACTGAGCTCAATCCCTGCACCAGCTCCTGCGGGAGATGTTTGCTGAGCAGGGATTTCATGTTACAGAGCACACTGGATCAGAGCATTGCAGAACACTGGGGGAGGTTTAAGTTGAATATTAGGAAGAGTTTTTTTTACAGAGAGAGTGATCAGGCATTGGAATGTGCAGCTCGGGGAGGTGATGGATTCACCACCCCTGGACATTTTCAAGCTGCGACTGGATCTGACCCTTAGCGCCATGGTCTAGTAACCACGCTAGGGATGAACTCGACGATCTCTCTTCCAACCTGGTTGATTCTATGACTCTGTGACTTGCCTTCCGTGGGGTTCGCGGGCTGATCCTTGTTGATAGCCGTCTGGATGTTGCTGAAGGAGGCGGGCGGGCCGCACTGCTGCAGCACCCCGATGGCATTACAGAACTGATCCGCCAGCTGACAGCGAAATAACAGTGTTAGTGGTCCCAGTGCTCGCAGGGCACACCGGCTCCTGTTGCCGGACAGCAGGAGCCGAGTGGGGAAGCCTCGGGCATCGCCAACCTTACCGAATTCACCGCATCCTGCAGCTGCGTCATCCGATCCGCCATGGCTCACGCTCCTCCTCCTTCCTCCTCTCTCGCCCAGCGCCCTCTGCGGGACGGGAGGTCTGGCATTCCCAGCCGCTGGAATTCCCTCGGGAGCGCTGGAAAAATCCAGCAGGGAAAAGCGGAGGCAGCAGTTAAGCCCCTGTGTCCCCTGGGCGAGTGACATTCCATGTCCTCAGGGGTCTTCAGGCTTGTCCCCATCTCGTGTTACTTGTAGTTCGGTTTAGAGGAGGCAGCTGGGCTGGAGTTCCTTCTGGATCACTTAGAGTCATAGAATCAGAGAATGGTTTGGGTTGCAAAAGATTTTAAGTATCATCTCGTTCCAACCCACTGCCGCGGGCAGGGACGACTCCCAGTAGCCCAGGTTGCTCAGAATTCCATCCAGCCTGGGCTTGAACACTGCCAGGGATGGAGCAGCCACAGCTTCTCTGGGCAACCTGTGCCAGTGCCTCAGCACCCTCACAGGGAAGAATTTCTTCCTAGCATCTAATCGAAGCCAACTCTCTGTCACTTTGAAGCCATTCCCTCTTGTCCTGTCGCTCCAGACCCTTTTCGACAGTCCCTCTCTAGCCTAGTCTGCAGCCACGATACAAACTGGTGCAAGAGAAGTGTTTTCTGATGCCACGATCAGGGTTAGCATTTGGTTTACCCGCGTGTGTGAGCGGGGAAGTGGGGCTGCTCCACACTGCTAAGTTAAAAACCCGTGGTTAAAAAGTCATAAGCTGTTGCGCTGCGGACAAAACCCCAACTTTATTATTGAAGTGGACAAGACTCTTTCTCAGATTCGCGCGGGACAGACACTGGGCTGGAACAAGGCAGCTCGAACACGGAGCTGAACAAGCTCCGCGGGCTCAGCGCTGACCCACCCGGGCGCAGGTCGCTGGGGCACGAGAGCACAGTCCGCACAGTCCCCGCAGCCCCGCACCGCCCCC